AATAGCATCAAAAAATCAAATCTTGAGGAAAAAACTAGAAAAGCAGGTAAAAGATCTCCACAATGGTGTTTTCATATTAATGATGAAAGAAATTGAGAAGACATTCAAGGTGGAAAGAGAGCATTTGTTAGTGGATTGGTAAAATTAATATTCTGAAAATGAGCATACTACCAAAAGTAATTTACAGATTTAATGTAACCCAACCCAAAAACCCCATAGGTGTTAGGGATTTTATTGCTGTGAAATTTTTAAGGGAAAATACTTAACTGGTGTGGCAGCTTACATTTCAGAGATTGATTATATTATCAGAATAGTGAGGAGAATGGTGGTATGCAGCAGACATGGTGCTGGCTGCATCTTTATCGGAAGACAACAGGAAGGGACCTGAAGCACTTGACATGGCATGGGGAGTTATGAAAGCTGAAAGCCCATCCCAATAGTCTCATACTTCCTAATAATGACACTTCCATTATGCTATGGAGGCAAAATTACAATACTTTTATTCATAAAAAATACATTTTGAAAATCCCTAAACTTCATATAGAACAAGAAAATAACACAGGTATCTAGCACAAGCAATAGCAAAATGAAAAATACTAGAAGTTATGCTCTTATAGGCTTCAAAATAGATTATTGAACTATGATAATGCAAGCATCATGTTAGAAGAAGAAAAACAGATATATAAAGCAACAAAGCAAAATAGAAGACCCAAATATGTATTGTCGTAAGGACAGCTATTTGTGGTATGACAAAGAATTAACAAAGACAACAAAATCATAGAAGAAAACCTTCCCAACCTAATAAAAGACATGCCAATGAAAGTATCAGAAGCCTACAGACCACCAAATAGCATGGACCACAAAAGGAAGTCCCCCGTCACATAATAATTAAAACACCAAACATACAGAATATAGAAAGAATATTAAGAGCAGCAAAGGAAAAAGGCCAAGTAACATATAAAGGCAAACCTATCAGAATTACACCATGATCTCTCTCTGAAAGACACAAGGATGTGGATAGATATTCTACCAACTCTAAGAGAACACAGATGCCAGCCCAGACTACTATACCCAGCAAAGCTTTCAATCATTATAAATGGAGAAATCAAGAAATTCCACAAGAAAACCAGATATAAACAGTGTGTACCCACTAATCCAGCCCTACAGTAAGTGCTGGAAGGAAAACTCCACCCTAACGAAATTAACTACACTCACAAAAATATAGGCAATATATAATCCCACTTTACCAAAACCCCAAAGAAAAATCAGGGTAAATCCACATACAACAACCCTACCAACAACAAATCAAAAAAAAAGAAAAAACAAGAATAATCACTCAATGGTCCTTAATTTCCCTCATAATCAACATGCCTATAAAAGACACAGGCTAACAGAGTGGATACAAGACAGAATCAATCCTTCTGCTGCATACCAGAAGCACAACTCAACTTCAAAGACAGACATTACCTCAGAGTAAAGGGTTGGGATAAAATATTCCAATCAAATGAACCCAAGAAACGAGCTGGGATAGCTATGCCAGTACCTAACAAATTACACTTCAAACTAAAATCAATCAAAAGAGATGAAGAAAGTCCTTTCATAGTCATCAAAGGAAAAATCCACTGGGAAGAGGTCTCAATTATAAACATCTATGCAAATACAAATGCACCAACATTCATAAAAGAAATATTATTAAAACTCAAATCACAAATAAGACCTCACACAGTTATAGTGGGAGACTTCCACACCTCACTCTCACCACTGGACAGGAACACCAGACAGAAACTTAACAAAGAAACAAAGGAACTAACAGAAGTTTTGACCCAATTGAGAAAACAGACACCTATAGAACATTCCATCCAAACACAAAAGAATATACCTTCTTTTCAGCATCATGTGGAACCTTCTCTAAAATCGACCACATGCTCGGCAACATAGCAAACCTCAACAGGTAAAAAAAAATAGGAATAACCCCCTGTGTCTTATCAGACTACCATGCTTTAAGCTTAGAATTAAAAACAACAAAAAGTTACATTTAGAAATGACATGGAAGAACAAAGAAACTTAGTCTCAATAGTTAAAGAGTTAGGTACTAATCACTATTTTGAGAATTTACAAAGAATAGGATTATTACTGCAATCCAGGTAATAAAGTTGACATACAGATTACTCAGAAACTGGTATGCACTTGAAAATGATACACTAGGCATCACAGTATATTCAGCTGATTTCATATTGTTAAGAATTAATCACTGGGCTCAAATCTCTTACTTTGTAACTGCATGTTTGCTGCCAGCTAGGGCACAGTATGAATAATATATACCTAGCTAGAAATAAGACATTTGGCTTCCTATATAATAAGGGGTAAAAGTCAATGATGTCAAGGGAGTGGGAAAGAAGAGAAATTAAATGTTAATGATTCTCAGAAAATGATTAAAGACAAATGCTTTGAGAGGAAAAAAAACCCGCTAAAGGCTGCAGGTGCATACAGGAATTATAAAGCCATCATATCATGAGAAAACACAAGAAAATTAAGAATTCTTCTGTTGGATTAAACCAATATTAAAGATGTATTTGGTTTTACAGTCTTAAGAATAAAAGTGGATGTTTCTTGCTATAAAAAAATCACAAATTGCAGAAAACCTACCAAATCATGGAAACTGAAGAACATGCAATTGCACAATTCCTGGGTCTAGGAAGAAACAAACAAAGAAATAAAAGACTTCCTAAAATTCAATTAAAATGAAGACACAACATGCCCAATCTTATGGGACACTTTGAAAGCAGTGCTACGAGGAAAGTTCATAGCTCTAAGTGCCCACATGAAGAAACTAGATAATAGCCACACCAGAGAATTGACATCACAACTGAAAGCTCTAGAAAAAAATGAAAGCAAATTCACCCCAGAGGAGTAGACACCAGCAAATAATCAAAATGGGGACAGAAATCAATAATGTCAAAACAAAGAAAGCAATCCAAAGAATCAAGGTAATGAAGAGTTGGTTCTTCAAGAAAATCAACAAGATAGACAAACCTTTATCCAAACTAGCCAAAAGTCAGAAAGACCATGCAAATTAACAAAATCAGAAATAAAAAGGGGGACATAACTACAGACACTAAAGAAATCCAGAAAATCTTCAGGTCAGACTTTGAAAGCCTGTACTCCAGAAAATTGGAGGCACAGTGCATATTTCCTTAAATTCTCTCTCTTTAACCTTGGTTCCTGCTCTCTGCAGCTGTGCTCAATCCAGAGTCATAGATAAGAACCTCAGCCACCAAATTTTTAGTTTTAAAGTCTTTCCTCCACACTGTTCTCTTCTTTTTTCTGCTCCTATTGACTCCTTTCTTCTCTACAGCTCTACTATCACTTTTATTGAAATTACAGACCTTCCACAGTTGCCCATCTCAGAAGACAGGTCCATTCCAAACTGCCTGCTTTATTTTCCCAGAGTCTCCATAGTGCAGGAGTATCATTTCTCTTCCAGTCCCTCATACCACAACCACCTTGTTAGCAATCTGCTGTGGGAAGATACATTTTCAATATGTTTACAAAATTTGCTTTCAAGACTTGTCCGCATTTTTATTTTTACCAAAGTAGGGTTTCTCTGGCCATGCATGATGCCCTGGGGGCATTCACTGAAATTCCTGAGCAGATACTGGAGCCATCTCAGCTGTGTCCATTTGCTCTATTAGCACAAGCAGTTCTCTCCAAGTCTTCCTACCGACATCCCCGATCATGCTAAACTGATCTGTTTCCTTATTCTTCAATATCACCATTGCAGCAGAAGACAGTACATGTCTTACTTAACTAATGCCACTCTTTCATTATTGCCTCAATTTCCTCTTAGTGATTTGCATGCTCTTCCCATGAGTAGCTCATTTTCCATATCAGAACAAGCAGGAAGATACAAGTACGGAGAAAATAAAGAATATAATGTGTTAGTAATGCAGAATATAGAAAATAACATGAATGTGAACAATTGTGAAGAAGAAATACTGTGAGTGAGTAATGAATCTATTCTAGGCAGACATTGTTTTCATTCAGTTAGCAAAATAATTCAGAAAATAAGAAAAATTTACGCAATTTTTGACATATCTGTTTTCTTTCTCACTGC